AAAAAAAGGTCAGGGGAACAGAGTACCAATTTTATGAGAAGAGGCTAAAAGAGCCTAGATAAAACAAAACCTAACAGGGGATAATTGCTCTAAGTACATCACAGGGGCTAAGTAGCAAGGAAGAAGACAAGGTATCTTACTTAAAAAACAAACCTAAATCGGCATAAATGGGCAATGAATAACCAATGCCAGAAAATAAAGTGACACAGCCTTCCAATACAAGTAACAGAAGCAAAAGACTTCACTCATCTTAAGTTGGAGTTTAATCACTTTATCAATGAAATTGCATGGTGTGCTTGCCTGCATACCTTCCAGTCCTGTGCCCTTAACTGATTAACCAAGAACATAAAAGAGAAGCTTTGGTGTATGGCCAGAATTCTCTGCGATGGTTCTTCATCAGAAAAAAGTAACTTTTAAAACGAACTCAATGTAATTTTACAGTAGCCTAGTGGTGACGTGTTGGGGGTGCATGTGCACCCCCTGAGAGCGCTGGTGCACCCATGCACAGCCAGTGATCTCCTCTTAGGCAAGAGGCAGGGGTAGGGGCAGGCGGGAGCACTGGTGAACCCCCTGAGAGCGCTGGCTGGGGAGTGGGGGCACCAAAAAAAGTACTGCTAGCACTTCCTGATCGGCATGTGCAACCGGTGGGGAGGGGGGACTCCCCACCCAGGTGCTGGCTGGCCACTGAGGGAGCAAGTGCCCCCCCGACTCAGGAGGCACCAGTCTCCCATGCAGTAGCCATTTTTTCTGCTGCATAGCAAATAGAAAGCCAAGGATAACACACCCTGTACTAGTTGTGAACTGAAGTGAGAACACACATGCAAAGGCAAACCATATTGCTATTAAGTAATAAGTGAAGTGCTACTTTATGTGGCAAAAACCGAATAATTGAGAAGACAAACAAGAAACATATTAGGACCAAGAATAATAGATAATGCATTGAAAGTGAAAGCCAAATGAAACACCACAGTTGTCATTAGAAATTTAGATAAATATCAATATCCAATTGTTTGCTTAACAGTAAATTAAAACATACCACAATGCCTCATGTAGATGAACAGATGGGCACCAGGACCTTTAGGCCACCTTGTTCGAGCCCAGCTCAACAGCCGATTGTTTGTTTTTTTGGAAATCATTGTTAAATAAGTCATGTTCATCAAGGTGCTAATACTCAAGTGTTAACATCACACAGACAGTGACAGAAAAAGAACACGCTGAGGAGCAGTGTGGGAGATTTTTTCACCAAGCTGGTCCATATACTGGCTGTTCTGTGGGTAGACAGTAGACTACACTACCCAGAGCTACTGACTCAACACCCTTTACAAGCACTGAGTTTATCTGCATGAAGTTAACAGTATTGTAAAGGACACTGGAATTGAGACCCAAACTTGAGACTGGTGACTGCTTTGGCACACACAGCTCTCAATGCAAGCATGGTTCAAACAGAGGGTTACCAACCATAGAGCCTTCTCCATTCCATTTGTCACCCATCACTGGATCGCACACTGCAACAGAGAATAAATCCAATTTTAGAAACCAAGGATCTGCAAGTAAAAATGCTGCTAAGAATTGCTAATAGGTATGTTACAACCTATCCTTTTAGTAACTTCCATCTTCGAACAACTGCCACACTATGCTGGAGCAGAAGTTTGTAAACTGGCGATCTACAGCCCATGGAGGAATTTGGGTGCAATCATGAAGAGGTGTCAGGGGTTGTAATCAATCACCCTGTCCACATTGTTTAATCTGCAGAGATGAGGAGGGGGGAAAAGGTGTTGTGGTATGAAAACTCCTGCCTTAAAATCTGAGCTCTAGAATATTAGAACGCTCAGCAGAGAGATGAGAAAAGTTAATGTTTATACAATATTATAAGCAAGAAGAATTTTTCTTCCAGACCAGACCTGACAAACACATATTTGGCATGATAAAAAATACTATTAAACTTGACATTTTAGGCAATCTCAGTATCATAAATACTCATAATACCCTACTCTAAGCAACCTCAGTTTCAAAAGAGTAAGAAGAGTCCTAGCAGCTAGTATTGTGTGCTAGAACACCAAAACTATCCCTGGTATTAGAGTTAACTACTGAAATAAAAACATTTCGTAGTCCTTTTTCACCAGTCAGCCCATCCATACTCATGCAGGCTTCTGTGGATGTCAGTGGGAAGCCTGGCTTACTATCTTCCAATGAACAGAAAGAATGCTAAGAGTCCAAGTGACTTTATTATTTGGCTGCTTAAATTCTGCATTTCTCAGATGGTCCACAGCTAAAGTGGTTAGTTTCTAGTTTGTTTCTAGTCTGTTATATTTTTTGGATTTAATGCCTAGGCTGAAGGCTGCTGCCTTAATAAAACCTCAAAGAATAATGTTTTGCTAAAGGTTTAAAAAAGAAAACAAAAGAAAACATGAATATTTTATAAAGCTTTTACAAAACAGGTTTGCTCTCAAAAAGAATGTAAAGCATAAATTGTAGGCCAAAATTTAATGTCTAAGAAAAGCCCAGTTCAAATCATGTTAGCTAAAGCCATCTTTACATAGTTTTGCTGGCTTTGGCCAGTATTTTTTACTATGTCAAAAGATAGTTAGAACATGCAATCTCCCCAAACACGTTCTGTATGTTCTCTTTGACATGGTATAAGTTGCTTTGTAAACAGAGCCACTGCTTCAGTCCTGGAACAGAGGGAAAATCATATTATAACATTTTATTTTTTTACTTATTTTTAATAAAGAGCAGGTTACTGCTCAGCCCTCTCAGATGCACTAAACAGTTCGCAAAAAAAACCAGCACTATACCACAATCTACATAGTGAAAAACCACACAGGCATGTCTCCATCACCAATTATTTAAATAATTGGTTCTGGATAACTAAGCTGGAAGTACAACTTTGATAGGATCATTTGATTTCAATGTAAATAATACATACATTTAATGGTATTTACAGAAAAAAGTTACAAATAGTGATTGATCTTAATTTACAGATTAATCTTAATAAATTTAAATAATCTTGTAGATTATGTATTATTGTACCACAGGAACTGTCTGTTACTTGTATTGTTTAAAGCAGTGATGCTCAACACTTTTGCCCTATGGACAAGATGGGTGGTGCCCCATCCCTCCATGGACTGGATCCAGCCAGTGGGCAGGCACAGCAGGACCTGATCGAGTGGTGGCAGGGAGCAGGGGCATGAACCAGCCCCCATTCAGCTGCATGAAGGGGGTGGGAGTATGGCCTGGTCTGTGGCCCAGTCCTGATCCAGCTGCATGGGGTGGGGGGAAGCCACCTGGATGCACAGGACTTGGGAATTTGGCAGCAAGGAAGGCAGTATTAATGGCCACTGCTCCCCGCTGCCAAATTTCTGACCTGTGTGGAGCTTAGTGGGCTGGATGCCATGACTCCATGGGCTGAATCTGATCCATGAGCCAGGGGTTGAGCACCACTAGTTTAAAGCAATGGAAGCCAACCTTTCTGGCAGATGTGCCACAAATCAGCTCTGAATACTCCCCAGGTGCCACTCTTTCCCCTCCCTGATCTGCTGCTCTGCTTTCCGATTCCTGTCCTGTACTCCCTGACTTATCTTTTACTTTGCTGTTTGCTCCCTGTCCTATCTGCCTGTCCCCTCCCCTCCTGCTATGTGCCATACAAACTACCTGTGCCACTTGTGCCATACATGCTACAGGTTGGCCACCCCTGGTTTAAAGTATGTTTTAATGCCTACATTATCATTACCAGGGCTGCTGTTCAGATGTGGCCCGACCAATTCTATGAACTACTGAAATCACTGCTCTGCCTCCAAACACTACCATGCTGTTTGACACTGCACTAGCCAACATGAGATGGTTACGATTTCTCAATCTCTACAAGCCGAAGGCAGCGACTGAAACTCAACACCAGCATACCAAATCATACCATAACAGGAACACAATTTTGTTAGGCATGGATAGCATGATGTGAGAAAAGTATCACAAGGAACCAAGTTATATGAAAAAAAAAATCCCTCACCATGTTTAATAAAGCTAAACTGACATTCCCCTGAAGTCTCTGTGCCAAGAAAAACCACAGCAAGACGCTGTTATGAAATTCGGGATAGTATCACAATACTGCTTTAATCCTAAACGATTTACACAGATACACGGGAAATAATGAAGTTAAAATGATTAAATCATCAAATCCTTACCATACACTAAGTTAGAGTTCTGTTGTTTCAACTCTTTAACAATATCGACTACCATGGCAAGGAATGATGTGTCCCTTGTGTAGCCTTTGGGGAAAAGAAAAACTGGCAGTTAATTTTATAGAGCAATACCTTAAAGAATCACTGCAGTAATTATATGCAGAAAGTTGCTCACTTCTCAGTCCTGGAAAAAAGTAGTCCCATGCATCTAAGTTTCTCACACTTTAAAATACTCTGAGGTGATTGGGAAACAAGGAGCAGGATTAAGTTAAAACATAACTTAAAACATTTTTTATTTGAAATTTTTAACTGCTATAACTACTCCAGCAGAAGAAGATGCCTACAAACCGTTCTTCGGAAGTACTCCATATCAAACAGTTTGTTGGAAGCTCCTACAGTGGCATTCTCTTTTTCAGGAAAAAGATGCTGCTCAACTATAGAATAACCCTTCTCCCAGAAGAAAAATGTGCAGGTGTCTTTCAACCACATGAAATTCATTTATACTGAATTCCATTACTCTGCAGTGAAGTTTAATGTCTCCTTTTACCTCTGAGAGCTCCACAACAACAGAAGGGGAAAATAATTATCAGATATAAAATACCCTTAATGCCAAGATGACTGTTATGGGATGATAATCCAAGCTGCATATAATTAAACTCTCCCATTATCCCTGGCTTTAAAACATCTCCTACATGTGGAAATCATGTAATCAATCACATCTAGCAATCAATTTCTGCTTGAGTTTTGTAAGATGAACTAAACTCAATGAAGTGGAACCCAGCTAATAACAAGCCACAGAAGAAAAGACTGTATCCTTTCATTGGTAGGCAGCTGATCACAGACCATTTATTTTTCCATTTAAAATGCCTCCTATGGAGGCACCTTGCATACACATGCACACGTATACCAAGCCTCTGTGTTACGTGAAATAAGACACTGCCCAAGACTTACTCTACACCCTCAAAAAAGGTTAAAGGACCATTATATGCACACAAGCAGCATTTCAAGGAGTATGATGACAGGATTGAGAATAGACTGTAAGCCATCCAACTCTCCATTCTGTTCTCATCACACTCCCCACCCGAGCTCCCATCAGAGATCAAAGAAAAAACAGCACATCAACAGGATAAAGGCCAATCTTTTAAACTGCAAAGCAGACATTATTGCAGGTTTAGGAAGGGCATTTCAAATCCATACTACTTTACAATAAATATAAAAATTGTGCTGTGGAGATGGATGAAGATGCGCAGGGATTAGCTGACCCAGCCCTTCACAACTTTAGGGCTGGATACAGCAGCTGTTCTACAACAATATGACAAACACTGAAATATGAAGTATCCAGCTGAAACTGCAAGAGGAAGTTCAAGGGAAAATGTGATTACCTGGGTTGAAATAAGGCAGCACCTCTCCTTTTGCATAAATAACATAGTATTTAGTAGGCAAAACAAATACTTACTGACCTGTGAGTACATAATCATAGTGGTTGACGTTGTTCAGCTTAAGTCCTTCATACAGTTCATGAAGTTCATCTGAATTTAACACCTGACCCTTCCAGTGGGCGTAACCTGCAGCACGGAAAAGCCAAATAATTTTGTAACAGAAATTATATACATCAGGGGTGTCTAACTCATCTGGCACTGTGGGCTGGAACAGCAGGGCAGAGCCAGTCTGCAGACCAGAGCCAGAGTGCAGAGACATGTCATCCATCCCACAAAGATTCCTTGGGTCAGATATTTGGGGTGGCAAGACAAGCAACAGCTGCTGAGGCTCCAGAAATGGCAGCAACTAACATTGCCACCACTTGCCCCGCAGACCAATGACATGGTTCCTCAGGCCATATTTTTGACACCTTCAGTGCATATTATATAAGCAGGAATATGCTATCCATCAATTCCCTGATGACACTCCCAGCACCATTCTTGTAAGAAATTAGTAAAGTTGTCCTCTACAGAAGACAATGTTGAGAATGTAACTAATCATCTTTAGCTTTCTGAAAATGAATGGTTTGTGAAAGGGGCCAAACTAGACAGCCCTGAATATTTAACTCTTCCACTGATCAGAAGACAGAGAAATCACAACCAAAATGCAAGCTTCTCCAACCAGCCCCAATCTTAAACCATCTCTGAGGCAAGATGTTAGTTTCAGTCTTCATTAGATGGTTAGGATCACATATAGTATTTGATATTTTACATTATACCAATGCAATCTGATAGCAGCCAGACAGCTTGATGACAGATTTATTTGGCAATAAACCATCTCTGCAATTTGCAGTAATTCTGAATCTAGCATGCATACAAAATAATGCATGCCAGACCCACACTCCCTCACAATATTATGGTAGAAAGGAGACTCTCCATTTACCTCAGAAAACAGGCTAGTGCTTCAGTTTAAAATCGGGAAAATCTATTTAAATATCTCCCAGAGCACACAGTAGAGAGAAGGCTGCACTCTCTTGCACCCTAATTCAAAACTATCTGGTACCCTGTGTTAGAAATACAGTCACTGTACAGAAACATTGGCATAGGATGTTCCTTCGCTATAGGACTTCATGTAATAAGAGAAGGCTATTCTCCAGGAACAGCATGTCCATACTGGAAGCAGTCCCATGGATATCACTGTAGATAAAAAAAACACTTCTATGGATAGAAAAATAAACTATCCATACCCTTAATCCTTATAAAGACCTAAGAGTTACTGGAGCTACGAGAACTTGTTTTGGACTTGGTTTAACCTAGTTTGAAGTCAATGGAAAGGACAAGGGGCTTGAAGATCCCTCCCAGATCTGTTCACTGTATTCAAAGTAAGCCCTTGCCCAAAGGATCCACAAAGATCATATTGCCAGATTCTTCTCTCACACCACAGCCGGAAAGCTTCTTATTAAAAAAATCCTCTACAACATGCCATACATAAGAAGTAGGGGAGATATGGGCACCACCAGTGCCTTGCCACTAAAATTCTCTGCAATTGATTAGACTAACGTGTGCTCAGGTGATCCAAAGAGAAGGACCATGTTCTACATAACAGAAGAGAGCAAAAAATCTACAATCTGTGCAAACCTGGCTTTCTTGACCCCCAAATCTGTCCCACCTAATACCTGAGAAATTATTAAATAGCAGTAGGAATTCCAGGACATCCTACCTTTGAAAAGGAAGGAAAAATAAGACAAAACAAAACAAAAACCAGAAGCCAAATAAAGAGCATTCACGGAAATAAAAAAGCGTCTTCCTGGGCCCTACCAGTTGCCAGCAGAAGCCCTGAACCATGTGGTTACCAGACATCTCCTACACCAAGATAAATTTCATTTCAATGCCAAGATAGGGGTAACCAAATACTTTAACTTATATTGTATGACCTGATTATCCAAACATATTATCCCTCTCATAAAAAGTTCAGCTTGAACTTTCAGGCCTTCCTCTCCAAGGCACCATAAACCCTGTAACTGTCTCCTAAATGGCTGAGAACCTGCTTATTGAAGAGACTACATCTGTCACCCTATGCCATACCACCAAAGCCCTCCTTCCCAAGCTCCAGGTCTCATTTGTTATTACAGATGGGACTACCTCTAAGAAATCTGCTAAGGACTCCTCAAGCCTGAATTCTTTTTCACAGTCTTAAAATGAAGCAATCTAAAAGTTGCTGTCCTTGACACTGTGGGGTGTGAAAATACAGTGTAACCCCAAAGCAAAAGCTGATTACCAGAGATTGCTGCCAAATGTACTTCAGTCGTCTGGACTGCTTCAGGGTAAGCAAATAATGCAGGATAGCTGGCAGGGAGATTAATAGCAGAGACTATGGCTGTTCAACTATCCAGAAAGCAACCTCTTTCATTTAGCTGTGCAAACCATTCTGGTAGAAGACCTTACTGTACAGAAACCAAGCAGAAACAAAAAGCATCCCTTTTTCTTCCCCCTTGCACTGTTCCCTACCAAAAGTGGTTTAGGCTTCTCATCTGAGGCTTAAGTTCTAAAAGGAAGTCATCCAGCTAATATCTAACCCAGCAGTCCTCAAGGTGCCATGCAGTATTAGCACTGTTTGGTGTGCCAAGACCTACCTTTAATTCACAAGATAAACCCAGAGATTTCAAAAAGGAATCCAGTGTCAAAAGCCTTCTAACCTATCGTGGTTGTTCTGAGATCTTGCAACAGAAGAACTGCTCTAGTATGGTCCCGCAGTCAAAAACAGAATGAAAGCTAAGAAGAGGTCATTTCCTGCTTCTATAAGTGAAGACAGTAGCACTAGCAAGGTGCTTATACATTTTCCACAACCCTTTTGGAACTGGTTAGAAAAGCTCAGCAATTCTCATGCAGTGTAATGTCACACCACCATTTTATATTAGTCAGTGCCAAGCATCCACTATTGTAAGTTAGGGTATTTGTTTTGATTAATGAATTCAAAATATTTGCAAGAACTGCCAGGCTCAAGTGTCTCATTAATTACAATATTATGGTTATTTATGCATGATTTTTTCCTTTTTGTTTAAAAATGTATTTCCAGTCACTTTATTTATTATGCCCTGTAGTTTTTCAAATGGAATGCTTCTAAATTAGAGGTGGGTAATTATTTCAGCTGGATGGCCACTTAAGTTTTGGTGAGCTGTTGAGGGCCACACATGCACAAAATCTTTTAGAAGACAGCATTTTAACAAAAAACCCCACAAATATACTACAAATCAAACATCTACTATAACATATTTTAATTTTATTTCAAAAAATAATTTTGTCCCGATTTATGTTTTTATAAGGCGCATATACAGAGGTGATTGCCTAATAGCTCAAAATAAAGTCTCACTCCTATATATCGTGTGGGGGCTGCCCACATGCCAGGTCACAGAAGCCGGCCAGGGTTGGGGGAGGGAGAGGGGCCAAGGGACGCATTCATTAAAAGAGGTGGACAAGGCTGCTGCAGGTGTTGTGGATTGCCACTCTCAATGCATATTCACACCTGGCTCTTAGTGATGGATCTCTGATCTCAGAATTGGAAGGCTGCTGCTAAATAAATTCATCCCTTCAAAGCGGAGGTCTCCTATAGGTAGGAAGCTACCTAAATCGCACTGGAATTTCTGCAATTCCTTTAATCTTGTTCTTTTTGCTACCCGCCCCCTTGGCAGAAGGGCCCCAGTGGCCCTGACACTTGTTGCTGCTCGGCTGGGAGGCAAAAACCACACCATATTTAAAACCACATTTTTTGCTTCCCAGAAGATCAGGAGTCCCTGCACCAAACAGCGGTGGGGGGCGGCAAAAAGAACAAGATTATAGGAGCCTCTGCACAGCACACTTCCAGAGCAATTCAGGCAGATCCCTATTTACAGGTCTCTGAACCTCCTGAATATGGAATGCCTGGAGCTAAAAAGAACATCTCATGGTAACAGTGAGTGTCATGTCAAGGGTATCAAGAGGAGCCTTAAGCAAAATTTCTTGCTGTAAGCTGGCCTTCCAGTGTGTTTAGTTTGTGGACTTTTTGTGGTTTGCCTAGTATGCCTGATAATTATAAAAGGTAAGAGGCTTACTTGTGCAGATCAGCCTCAAAAAAATTTCTCAAAATGTGAACATTACAACATGTTAACCCACTTTCCCCAATTTGCTGTGGGTAATGCATGGTATAAAACCCAGCTCTATATATCAACGGTACAAAATGAGAACAAAATACAATTTTGATCTTTGCAACCAAAAAGAAAATACTTCATTTCTAATTTTGGCAACAATTGCTAAGTTAACCAAAAAGGCTTGTACAAAAACAAGCAGACCTGATTTTGAGACTTCTCAGGAAGGCAACAGCTACTTCTTTTGGGATGCAAGTTAAGAGAGGCTACGAGTCCCAGCAATTTTTAGCATAGCCAAAAAACCCTCATTATTCAAGAGTTATCCTGTGTGTAGACAAACTGCTGCTTCAAAAACAGCGAGTCTAAAGGAAAGTGAACTCTCTCTGTAACATTAATAAATTGCTTTACAGCTATAGTGACAAAAATTATGTTGTTAGGAGGTAGTGTCTGAATGGCTAGCCCAACAGGAAAGAGTAATCAGACAAACTACCATCACCATTAACCCTGGCTGTGTACACACATTCAAATAATCTGGGAGAATTCTCCCAGGTTTGTTCTCATGGTAGAAAAAAACAAAAGCAAAAAAACCTTACCTAGAGTCACATGTATAGACTTTCAAATGCTGAGGCCCTGAAGAGTAGAGAGCTTGCAGTGCTGACACTGTGCAACTGGGAGAAGAGGATGGGGGGGGGAGGGGAGGGGAGAAGACCATGTGCAGATATCTCAGCATGCTCTTCAGGCTCCTTTGGCAACACATGGCAGCAGTGCATACGCAGTCCTGACTGGCTAATTCAGACTGCCCATTGTTACCCTGTTGTCAGCATATACAGACATTTGCTCTCCCACAAGAAACTTTCCTGGAAGTTACTCAACTCCGGTTGTTCCCAGGCTATTTTTCTCCTGGAGCAGCTACTTTTACTCTGGGGCAAAAAAAACACCCGAACATCTGTATACTTGTGGAGAAAATGAACATCTGTACAAGGCCACTGATGTCTAATGCCTGGTCTTGACCAGGAAGGTAATTAA